ATAAAAATTTAGCAACATGGTTGTCAATTCTATACACTTAAACATACATGCAGTTATCCATATATGTTTATCCATATATATGGATATATCCATATGGATATATCCATATCCATTTATGTTTAAATTAAACAAACTACAGCAGGTTAAAATTATTCTGAACAAAGAATAATAGTATTGCTGGATTCCACATCATGACACTCCATGATCAGCACTGGGTATTGTAGTGGTTTTTTTTAATTTAATTTAAAGAAAGATAAACAAAACAGAAAATGGGTAGGCTTTAATCAGGAATAATTACTGTCAAAAATTATTTGGACATCTTAACATTACAAGCACAGCAAAACCATGTGTTCAATACCTTCTTCAACTTGCTACCTTCTCCTCTTTCTCCAAGAATAACTTTATCCTCACTTAAAATGCTGTACACTAGCTTCATCTACTTTGGAACATTTTATAAATGGAATCACAACCCAATTATTATTGTGTATGTCTTCACTCAGTGCTATGTACATGGATTTATCCTTATTATTGAATAGCTGTACTGTTCACATATTTTAATTACTGCATAACATTCTAGTATATGACGGTGCCACAATTTATTCCTTGCACTTTTAATAAATATTTCCAGTCTGGGCCTATTATAAACAATGCTACTATGAATCCTTGTTTAGTGACTTTTGATGTTTGTGTCTAACCACTTTTCTTATAGATAAGCATGGGAATTTCTGAATTACAAGTATATGCCTTTTAAATTTAGTAAATAGTGGCAGAGTTTTAAAGTAGTTATTGCAATTTACATATCCAAAATCAATACGCAGGAGTTTCAGTTGCTCCATAGCCTCATCAACATTTTATATTCTTTTTTATCTTACAGAAAAAAAAAACAATCTTATAAATTTCAAAGCAAGATTATAGGGCCAGGGATTTAGCTCAGTGACATAAATGCCAGCCTGGCAAGCATAAGGTCATGAGTTCAATCCCCAGTATCAAAAAGAAAAAAAAAAGATTATAGGAGAGTAACAATAGTTAATATATTGTGTATTGTTATCTTCAAAGTAGCTGCTCATATTACAAGGTATAGGCATGAAAAACTGATTAAATGACATAGGTACAAACCTTTCTTTTTCAAAAAACTAACAGCAATTAGTAGTATAACTATCTTAACTAATTTGTGTATTTATATTTTTCCCTTTCCCTTTTCTTCTTTCACCCATCCCAATTTCACTTTCCTTTTGAAGTGCCTTCCCATTTCACAGTATCTATTGTACATTTGGTATCTTATTTACTCTTTCAGGTTCTCACACTAGGGAGACAATACAATGCTTACACATGTACGTCTGATTTATTTCACTTATAAGTATGATGTCAAGAGCATCCATTTCCCTATAAATGTCTCAATGTTATCCTTTATAGCTGAGTAATACTCCATTGTATAGAAATACCACATCTTTTTTTACCCATCCCTTGATTGATGAGCAATTGGGTTGTTTCCAAGATTTAACTATTAAAAATTGTGCTGCTATAATCATGGGTGCACACGGTGCTTTTAATTCTTCTGGGAAAATACCCGGAAAGGGAATAGCTGGATCAAATGGAACCAGTTATCCTAGTTTTTTGAGGAATCTCCACATGATTTTCTTACTGCTTGCACCAGTCTGCACTCCCATCAACATTGGAGAAGGGCTTTTTTTTCCTCACAACCCAACTGGCATTTATTATTGATTGACTTCTTGATGATAGGCATTCTTACTGGGGGGTGAGATGGAATCTCAGTGTTGTTTTAATTGCATTTCCTGAATGATCAATTATGTTGAACTTTTTTAAAATATATTTATTGGCTATTTGTATTTCTTCATCTGAGAAATGTGTATTCATTTCAGCTGCCCATTTTTGGATTGGGTTTTTTAATTGGGGGGGATGGTCTGATTTTTTTCAATCTATATGTTCGACATACAAGTCCTTTGTCTAAGGAACAGTTGGCTAAAATTTTTCCCACTCTGTGGATTGTCTCTTCATTCTCTTGAATTTTTTTTCTGTGCAAAAGCTTTTTAATAAGATGAGATCCTACTTGTGGATTCTCTGAAGTGTTTTACATGCTGTTTGATTTTTGTTCATGAACTCTCTGCTTACCCATGTGTCTTCAATTTCTACCTACTTTCTCTTCTAGTAGATTTAGTGTTTTTGTTTTAATATTTAGATCTTTGATTCATTTTGACTTTAGTGCATGGTAATAGACATGGACTACTTTTAGTCTTCAGCATGTAAAAAGTCAGTTTTTTCCAGCACCATTTATTAAACAGGCCGTCTTTCTTCCAGTGAGTATATTTGACCCTTTTGTCAAAGAGAACATAGATCAGTGTGTTTGTATTTGTGTCTGCATCTTCTAATCTGTCCCATTGGTCCTCAGGTCTATTTTTTGCCAGTACCATACTGATTTTATCACAGTAGCTTGGCAGTATAATTTCAGGTCAGGGACTGTGATGCTTCTGAACTTGCCTTTGTTGCCCAGAATTGCCTTTGCTATTCTACATCTTCTCTGCTTCCAAATTAATTTTAGAAATGTTTTCTCTAGTTCTGTGAGGCATGTTAAAGGCATTTTGATTGCGATTGCATTAAATCTGTATGACAATGTTGGGAGTATAGTCATTTTCACTGTTGGGTCTTCCTATCTGTGAGCAAGAGATATCCTTCCATTTTCTGATTATCCTCTTTGATCTCCTTTTTCACAGCATTGTAATTTCCAATGTAGAGCTCTTTGTTAGATTGACTCCTAAGTATTTCATTTTTTGGATGCTATTGTAAAGCGTGGTTTTCGTAATTTCTCTCCCCTTTAGTTTGTTGTTTGTGTACAGGAATGCTGTTGATTTTTGAGAGTTGACCTTGTATCTATCTATGCTACTGAATTTGGTTATTAGTTTTAGGAAACTTTTAGTAGAGTTTTTAGGGTGTTCTATATAGAGTACTAAATCACCTGTGAACAACAATAGTTTAACTTCTTTCTATCCTTATTCTTTTTGTCTCTTGTCTAAGTGCTCTAGTGTTTCCAGAACTATATTGAATAGGAGTAGTAATAGTGGACATCCTTATCTTGTTTCTGATTGTGGAGTGAAGGCTTTGAGTTTTTGTCTTTTTAGTATGATGTTGGTTGTTGGTATATCATAGATGGCTTTTATCACATTGAGGTAAACATCATCTATTCTGATTTTCTCTAGGGTTTTTATCATGAATGAATGCTGAACTTTATCAAAGGCTTTTTCTGCCTCTATTGAGATGATTGCATGAATTTTGTCTTTGGTTCTGTTATGATGTACTAACTCATTGATCTGTGTATGTTGCACTCCTGGGACAAATCCCTCTTGGTCATGATGTATGATCTTCTTGATCATTTGCTACATTGTTTGTTATAGCTCATTGAGGATTTTTGTACCTATGTTCATTAGGGAGATTGGCCTATAGTTCTCTTTTTTGACTGTGTCTTTCTCTGGCTTGGGTATCAAGGTAACACTTACCTCCAGGAATGAGTTAGGGAATATTGCTTCCCATTCAACTCATTAAAGAGTTTAAGAAGTGTTAGCATTAAATCTTTTCTAAATTTCTTATAGAATTCAGCCATGAATTCATCAGGATCTATGCTTTTGTTGGTAAGTTTTTTATTATATTTCAATCTCATTAACTGATATTAGGTTATTTAGAACTTTTATATCATCTTGATTCAGCTTTGGCAATTAATATGTATCCAGAGATGTCGATTTATTGTTTTCCATCCTGAGTACAGATTTCTCAAAGTAGGTATTGATGGTCTTCTGAGTTTTCATGGGATCTGTGGTGATTTCACTTTTTTCAGTCCTTAGTACATGAATTTGGGTTACTTCCCCTTTTTTCATAAGGTTGGCAAGGGAGTTACCAATTTTATTTATTGTTTCAAAGAACAAACTCTTCAATAATTCTTTGTATTATTTCTTTGGTCTCCATTGTGTTAATTTCTGCTCTGATCTTTGTAACTTCCTCCCTTGTATGGGCTTTGTCTTTGTCTTGCTCTTTTTTTTCTACCATCTTGAACTGTAACATTGGGTTGTTTATTTGTGCTTGTTCTATTTCCCTGATGTGAGAATTTAACACTGTAAATTTCCCTCAAGATCTCTTTCATTACACCCCATAATTCTGGTATATTGTATCTTCATTCTCATTTATTTGTAGATATTATTTAACTTCTTCCTTTATTTCATCTGTGACCCATTGTCTGTTTAGAAAGGTGTCAATTTCCATGTTTATGGAGTTTTTACAGGTTTTTGACATTAATTTCCAATTTCATTGCACTATGATCAGACAATATGTGGGGGATAATTTCAATTCCTTTGAATTCACTTCAGCATGTTCTCTGGACTAGCATATGATCTACAGAGGTGATAGCACATGGTCCATAGCATATGGTCTATCGAGGTCCATAGAGGTGGTCTATAGGTAGCATACCAATAGTGGATTCAGTCTTTGTGTCGAACACACGTAAGTATGCACTGTCCAGAATATAAATATTTGTTTTGTTAAAAACTGCAGCAAATCTTATTTTACAAATCACAATTCACTTATAAGATTCTAGAATCAAGCAGCAGTGTGGAACAAAAATCGTTCAAAATGTAGTACTCCATCAAATGAACTGATTACAACCAAGGAAAAGGAAATGCCCTACTGAAATGTGGGAAATGAGGTACAGCAAAAAACCAATTAGTTACAGCTTGCACCAGTCTTACATGAACTAGTTTAAACAGTTGGTCATTTGTGACTGGCTAAGCCTCTGCTAATTACTACAAAACAAGGCTGCAGTGTTTGCACATTAGCTTGAGTACAATATGGGCAGCTTGAGGTAAAACTTTCAAGTCCAAGTCTTACTTTTCTCATCTTTAGTACCACTTTTTTCATTTCTTCGTAAGTATACTGATTCAAACTGTCTTGGTTTACTTTTACTTTTCTCACTGCTGGGACAAAACACCCGACACTCAAAATGAAGGAAGAAAAGGTTTATTTAGCTGTTTGTGGAAGTTTCAGTCCACAATCAGCTGGCTCTAAGGCAGGGTGGCATGGCACAAGGGCAACACTTCAAGGCAGCAGCCAGAGCAAGAAGGAAATAAGCCTCTTTTCCTGGCTTGTATTATATACAAGCCACCACCACACCCCTCCAAGGCAGGTATAGCACTCACAAAAATCTCCTTGCCCTCCTTTGCACAGGATAAGGATATTTACAAAAGTTCACACAATGTATCAACCATAACGATACCTTTCTCTTCCACACCAGTGTGACAGCTGCAGGTAAAGATGACAGACTAGGGACATATAATGATCTCCTCTGCCTTCTCAAACACACACACACACACACACACACACACACACATACACACACACATACATAAATAAAGGGATTTTAAAAAAAGAAGGAACAACATTGTGTGAATGGGAGGAAAATTTTAGAAATCAAGAAAAATTTTACACATCTTAAAAGGATAGGAAGTTGATAGAGGAAGGTAGAGGAAACCACAAAATCCAAACTGAATGAGATGTCTCAGCATGGAACCCAGGCTTCCCAGAATGCTATAGCCAGGACTCCCTGACATCAGGGTGTGGAATGAAGAACTGCAAGTGGGCATTGGTAGGAGTCTTAAGGGACGTGCACTCCACACATGCAGAGGGATCCAAGTTTATCATATCTCTCCCACACAGGAAGTAGAGACTTATTATTGGAGAAATAAAATAATCACAGCATTCAAGGCAATAAAACACACAAAATGCACAGTGAGACAGCTGAAGAAACAGGAACAGGAAAAAAAAATCTTAAAAATTAAAACTATCAATCATATCCTCAGAGACATATTACTGCATCTATACATGATTTGAAATGGACCAATTATAGAGAATAAACCACCTTGGGGGAATAAAGTAAAAGCTAACGTGCTGGGCATGGTGGTACATACCTAGAATCCCAGCATTTGGGAGGCAGAGGCAGGAAGATCACCTAGAGTTAAGGCCAGCCTAGGTTACACAGGGAGTTCAAGGTCAGCCTGGACTACATAGCAACTCCCTCAAAATAAAAGCTAAAGCAAATTTTCATAAAATACTTTGAAAAAAATCAAAAGAACTCTTTCTGCCAAAGTATAACTTTCAACAGAAATTCCAGAATCAGAACAAAAGAAAATGGCAAGAAAAACAGGTTATCAAATAGAATTTCCTAGAAAGAACTTTAATCCTTCTAAACACTCTAATAAAAAAATAGAAGCAGACCAGCAATATAAGGCAGGGCACTTTAAACTCCAGATCATGAAGAAAAGTTTCCATGAAGTCCTGTGTTGCTTGCATTGTTCTGATCTGCTTTGTTCTGCTGTTTTGTTCTCTTGAAAAGAAAAGAAAAAGTTTCCAGAGAGAACAAGAACAAGGGAGCACCAGATTCCTTAATGTAACACAAGAGGCTGCAGGATAAACGAGGGCCTTCAGCATTTTCAAGAAAAATTTTTGCCAGCAATTAGAGACAATTTCAGAAAAATGGCCTCTAATAATAAAAAACTAGCTTCTCATATTTCCTTTCTTAAGATACTAGCAAATAGTATGTAACAAAAGAGAAATACGCTAAGAAGTAAAACATGAAATCCAGGAGATATTGGAGCCAACCTGAAAGGTTTAGAAGAGACAAGGGGCTAAGTTTTACAGCAGACCTAGCATGGAGCAGGAAAACCATAAAGTGAACAAAATAATAAATATGTGGAAAAAATAAAGACACAGAAAAAATTAGGAAAACTCAACAATAGTACCTCAGAGGAAATCTGAGTATAATGCATCTAGTTTTATAAGAAGTGACAGTGATAAAACAACTTGGAAGGATGGGGAAGAGGAAGTGAGGGAGGTACAGACCATCATAAAAAAAAAAGGTAATTTGGATCAGTTCATATTATTAATAAATACCAATATTGTTTAATATGCAAAATATTTCTAAGTCCTTCAGTTCTGAATTTTCAACCAAGGATATACATTTCATTAATAATTTTCAATTTATTAAAATAATTTTTTCCAATGGGGGAAAAAACAAGGACAGAGAGGATCCATTTGTACTGTGAAATCTCAAGTCTTCATCCCTTTTTCCTGTTCTTCATGTAAAAAAGATGCTGTTTAACGGTTTCTGTTCTTCATTTTCTCTCTTCTTTGTTTTCCAGGTCTCTTCTACACAGAAATAAAACCACATATGGTCACACAGCACATAACCCTCTACTCCAGACAAAGAAAGGGAGGAAGGATGCGGGGATGGAAGGAGACTGAGCCCCAGCCAGTGTCTGGCTCACTTACATTTGATCCTTTCTTTCCAGGCCTCTTAAGGCCTTTCCCATGAGCTGTCTTTGCCCGGAAGCTGGATACATCATCAAAGCTCTCACGGCTGTTCCACTTGGAGCCTTTCTTCTTCCCCCCAAAGCCGAACTTCTGGTTTTTATATCGCCGTTTAGCATTGGGCCTGGACAAAAGGGACCAGACAGATTACCACAGCATTATAAATCCTGGTGACCCTCATGGCCCAAAATACCCTCAGGTTCTTTCTGGCACACGTTTACTTGCAGATCCCCCAGGCAAGCTCATCTACTTATGATTTTAATTCCCATGGCTGGAGGGAAAAAACAGTAGGAAAGGAGCTACATATGGCTTTCTACTATCTTCAGAAAGCTTATATTTTCACTCTATCTTGCTAACTCATCCTCAGCTGTTTCTGTGCTCTCACAGATATACACATGCAGCTAATAGTCAAATGTAGTAAGTTTTAAAACTCACCAAGCTCAGCATGTACAAAAGTACCTGTTATCTCCTCACCTATATGGTCAGCATGTACAAAAGTACCTGTTATCTCCTCACCTATACGGCCCCACATCCAGTACACATGCTGACCTTGCAGCTGGTGCTCCTACTATCTTCCCAGTCACCCAGGCTGCTTTCTCTCTGCATCCAATTCAATTTCCAGGTCCAGCTCATTTAACTTCTTTAGTATTTCTTCCACCCATATCCTCTCCTTTTCTGATTGCACTTTTAGGGTATTATCACTACTCATCTGAGCTTTTCTAACAGCCAATCGAGTCCCCATTTCCCTCAAGTCCATCTGCACAAAGTGCCACTGTTACCTTTTTAAACATGATATAACCCTCTCATCACTGGGGGTACACTCAGCAAACACCTGGCCCACCCGCCGCTCCCTACCTCATGTCCACCCCACAGTGATGCCAAACATCAGCTGCTTCTCACACCCAACCTGCTGCCTCACATCTCTGTGCCTCTGCTCATTCAGATTCTTCCTTCTCACCCAAACCAGCTTCTCTCCTACTTTTCTGGACAATGGTTATTTACCTTTCACACTAGGTTCAGAGGGGCCGCTCCTCCAGGAAGCCCTCCCCAGACCTGGTGCTTAAATAATGGTCTCTAACTGCCTTTATCATAATACATGCTATTACAGTCTGAAAATTATCATTTCTCCTAGGCCTGCTGTCCAGGTGTGCAGAAAGCTGGACTGAACAGAACAAACCATTTCCCCATGGGAAAACATGAGGCCATCCACAAGTGACTTGCTCAAAGCTACCTTCCTACTGAGCAGCATAATCTGAATGTAAACCTCAGGTCTGTACTCTTTACCACACTGTGAAGAAGAGAAGCCACACAGATACAATAGTAACTTTAAATGAGGCAAACACACCCTGGTCACTTTCGAAGGCTGCCATAATTGAAAAGACCCATCACAAGACAGTAAATCTTAGCCATACCAGGGGCGGCCCCTCATTCTGTGAGGTATCCAAGGTACTCACGCACTGCTGGCACATACACACCACAGAACCGAAATGAACCAAACCAAACCAGTATGCTTCTTACCCCTTCTTCATCTGCTGGCCTTTAGCTCCTGCCTTTGCACTCCGGGCAACAGGTTTCTGATCTCCCTCAAGAAAATCCAGTTTATCAGAGAAGCCTGTGAGTAAAGAAGCATTTTGGTCAGCACTACTGTATTTTCTAAAAGTTTTTAAGTATCACCTCCTTGCGCCATTGGCAAAACTTAAGCCAACAGTTCCACGTCACTGAGAGGACATCAAAGAACTGCATGCCCAAAATACGTGTCAGGCACCTACTGCTCCTCCCTCTTCCCCAACATCCGTAGCAAAGATGTGCTGACCTTTCTGATATTTCTTTATGGCATTCATCATATGTGATTTCTCCTGGTGCCTCTTCTGAAGAACCTCTGTTTGCACCTGTGGTGTGGACACAAACAAATTATTCCAACTGTCTATATTCTCTCCATATTACTACTACTACTAATAATAATAATAATATTACAAAACAAACACAGAATAGAGAGGGGAACAAGGGGTAAGGAAACAAGGAAAAGTTTTTTAAAAATGAGAAAAGAAGGAAACCATGAAAACAAAGCTTTGTAAACGGGTAGAGTAGGAGGGGTTGAAGGGCGGTTAGCAGAACAGGGAAAAAGTTGTATCATGTACAGGAACAAATTCTCTAAGATGAATGTGACTGTTAGGTTTATCTAAAATGTACCAATAAAACCTAATGTAAAATAAATAAATAAATGGAAAAAACAAACAGAAACACAGTGTGAGTCCCGCTACTACTATTTAACATTTACTTACAGATGCCCAAAACTATCCTAAGGGCTCTAAGTATATTCTTAGTTCTTCACAACCACTGAATGAAGTTTTACTAAATGAAAGTGGTTATATTCTTGCCCAAGTTACATTGCCAAAAAGTACATAACTGAGATCCACATTCAAGCAGCCCTACTCCAAAGCTTGCACTTTTCTCCCAACATACAATCCTGCCTACTAAATTAGCAAATCATGTTTAGAGCTACATTCAGTTTTGCCCATTAATTATTACTGGTCAGACTAAATGTTCAACCCATTGTTACAAGGGATGAAAGTACCAAATCACCCCAGAAAATAAAAAGAAAAACCAAAAAGCTTCAAAAACAAAGGAAATCAGGGCCAGGGATATAGCTCAGCAGCACAGCACCTGCCTGTCAAAAGTGAGGTCCTGAGTTCAATTTTATATATATATATATATATATATATATATATATCAAAGACACGATCAAAAAATGGGCAACTGAAATCAATAGATGCTTCACAGAAGAAGTACAAATGGCCAATAATTAATGAAGAAATGCTTGACATCATCGGCCATTAGAGAAATGCAAATTAAACCAACACTGAGATTGCACCTTACTCCATCATCAAGAAATCAAATAACAGTCAGAGATTTAGCTCAGTGGCTTAAGCACCTGCCTGGCAAGCCTGAGGTGGTTAAGTTCGATCCCCAGTACAAAAAAAAGAAATCAAAGAACAAAGGCTGGAGAGGCTGTGGGGAGAAAAGGAACCCTTCTACAGTACTGGCGGGAGTGTAAATAAGTCCAATCACTTTCAAAATCGGTATCAAAAAACCAAAACTAGAAATCCCATTTGATCCATCTATTCCTGTCTAGTTATCTTCCTGAAAGAGTTAAAGACATACTTTTACAGTGATATATGCATACCCATGTATATAGCAGCACAACTTAAAATAACTAAATCTTAGAAGGGCACATACAGTATGTCCATCAACAGATGAACAGATAAAGAATATGCATTTTTGAAACACAACAGAGTACACTATTCTGCCATACAAAAAGATAATGAATCATTTGTAAGAAAATAGGTACTTCTTAAGATCACAATATTAAGTAAAATAAATTGGATATACAGGCTTAAATACTAAATTTCTGTTTTATGAGAAATTCAAAGATAGGTGAAATAAAAGGTGATAGGAAGTAAGGAGGCAAAAAATAAATGAATAAATAAATAAATGGAAGCAGAGAGGCAGATCTTTCTCAAAGGGGTTTAAAAGCAGAGGGAGGCAGGAGGGAGGGAAGGGAAGAGAATGAACAAAGGAATTAAGATGTGTTATGTACATGTACCAACTCCACACAAGAATATAGAAATGAACAAAGGAATTAAGATGTGTTATGTACATGTACCAACTCCACACAAACACACACCCAAAAAAAGGGGAATCAAGACATGCAGGGAGAGGGTAAGGAGGGAAGGGAAAGAGGATGAAAAACACAAGTTAAGATGTATTATACACACAGGCCAACTCCCCACAAGGAATGTAAACATTATGTATAACAAAATAAACCAATTTTTAAATTTTTAAAAAAAAGGCACATTTCTCAATCTTAACACTACTGACGGTCTAGGGGTAAGTAAGTGGGTAAGGCCTTTCCTGTGCATCTTCCTGTGCATGTTTAGCAACATGCCTGCCTTCTATCCATTAGATACAAGTAGCACCTTCCACCCAAGATGTGACAACTGGAAAATGTCTCTAAGATAAAGCGCAGGGAAGGCAAAATTAACTCAAACTGAGCAGCACTGCCCAAAGGTTTCCTCAAATAAGAAACAGCAAGCCAACAGGCCCAACAGCTTTTCTTTACTCTTAATAAATTAGGTTATATTCAACTAATTGCCAGTGTCTTTGAGATAATATCAGCCACCCACTTCTAAATCTTAGAAACACTAAATCCACAGTAGAGCAAAGAACGCTCATCTACTCTTCCTCTGCTGAGGATTCATCAATGAAATGACCCCAGTGGTCAACTCCAGGCCCCAGAAGATGAAAGATTATATCCAAAATGCTGACAAATGCTTAAGATTCATACGGATCCTCCTCACATTCATTCTTTCCCACAAACCTAATTCCTGTCATCTTCTTTCTCAGGTGACCTATACAATAAAAAAGGAAAACCAAAAAGCTTTCATGGAATGCCTAACCTAGTTTTACACTGGAACTCTGACAGTTATAGTCAAACACTGGGTGACCCTTTACCTTTCAGACTGGATGATAATCAAGAGAATAATTCCTCCAGTGACCTGACAATCCTGAATGGACAGTGTGTCATTCAGAATACAAATCAGAAGTACCTGGGAGGCTTTTTAGAAAAAGAGGGGAAGTATACAAAGATTCTCAGAAATTCTGGTGGAGCCTAGAAATGTTTTCAAAATTTTCCCTGATTTTGCTGAGACACAACTTTTAGACACCACTGAATTCAGTTCATCACCATTTGGATGTAGAACCTAAATTCCAGAGAGGTGACTACCTTGCCTACCATTTCCACAGTACTACTGGTGCCACACAGGTATTTGGGTGAAACTGTGCACATGAATTCCAACACACACTTTAATATGAGACAGGAAGCACGTGATCAAACATACATAAGGCAGGGAACCAAATCAGACCACAGTAATATCATCAGACATGATGTAAATGGTCATATCCCATTTCCTGCACACTTTCTTTCTCACCTTCTTTCCATATTTCCTAAGTGCTCGAAGTTGCTTAGCCTTTTCGGACTTCTCCATGGCAGCCTGTTTAGTCTGTAGTTTCTGTCGAATCTAAAATGCAAACAAAATATTATCAAACAATCTTAGAGTGCACCAAAACAAGGAGCAAATATTCTCAGTTCTATGCTATAAATCATCTACTGTATTTTAACCCATGAGGACAATAAGGTCCAAAAGCTCAACCCCTTTGCCTAATATACCAGTGTCACCGGTAGAGCCAAAGATTAAAGTGACCTTCCCACTTCCAGTGTAATGTGTGTTCTATTATACAAAAATGTCTGCTTGTAGTCCAACCAAGCAATTACTCCCCATCCTTAATCTCTGTAAAACAGCACACAGCTTCAGTGCCCTTCTCTATGGACTATATAAGCAAGAAAAACTCAAGAGATATCCAACTTCCAGCCCTTTTCACCAAACATACACATTTCAGCTAAAAATAAGAAGTTAAAATGCAAATATACAGAGATGTATCTAAGTCTCCAGACGAAGTTCCTTCAGTACCAGCTAGACAAGAGGCTAATAAAATCTTGCCTGGACCCATGGGAAGTATTTAAATATACACTGGATATATATTAGGAATCTTCTTCCTCCCAAAATTAAATGCAGATCGTATTATAACTAACTCTACATTATACTACAACTGAAGTAATCCCCCATTTCCTAGAAAGCTGAAGCACAGAGAATACAAACTGTCTACAGTGATGGTACTGCTCAGTGGCAACAGCAGCCCCAGAACACACCATGCCATCACCATGACAGGAGGGAAACACAAAACTCACTGTGACTTCAGAGACACCATGCTTCTTATAGTACTTCTGCTCTTCTTGTCATTTAAAATAGGAAAATGTAATCTCACATTTAATCTAATGGGTGGTATCTGCTATGACTGTAACATAATGAATTTCTGGAAAAGGTAGTAATTGTCTCTAGCAACCAGCTCCCCAATATTGGATTTACACTTGTTTTTAAAAAAAAACAAAAAAACATCATAGGAGATAAATCTACTAAATATACTTCAGTACAAAGTTTTGGCTTTCCAGAGAAAAACTGCGTTCCTCACCTTTTGCATCTGCTGATCAGACTTAGCCATTTCTGCAAAATAATCAGTGGGCCGCTTGGTAGGCACTTTGAGCTGGTGGAGGCGGGGTAATGCCGCAAGCACTGCTGCCTGAGCCTGGCGGTAGCTGAGATTGTAAACAAAGGATGGAATGAGGTGAGGGAGAAAGGCCTCCATACCTCCTTCCTGCCTCTCAGTTATCCAAGCTCAGAAAGACTATCAACATCCGACCTCCACCAATAAGAACAAAGGAACAAACAAACACTGTAATAAAGCATCACTAATTTGATATCATAGAGAAACTTCACTGTATATTGTTTTTCAAAAGGGAAGAAGTGCTGCTAAAAATAAATTAGTATAAAAGGATGACCCCCCCCCAAAAAAAGGATGACCCCTCCAATGGTACCTATTAACACAAAAGCAAGTGTCAATTACGAATTCTCCTGTAATCACTACAGAAAAGTCCTCACAAGAACCTTTGGCAACCAAAGTTTGCTGTAGTGACTAAATGCACACACAAAAACACTGGGCTCTTCTCAACCAGAGAATCTCACAACTTCCTCTCCATAGCCAAAGCTAATTCCCTGGAGTCTCTGACGGGGAAGGCTCACTACCGTCCTTCTCTCCCGCCCTCTAGCACAGGAAGGCCCCCAATTTCTCCCGCAGTGGACAGGAAGGCCCCCAATTTCTCCCGCAGTGGCAAACAAACATACAAACTCATTTCCCGCTGGAAGTCGTCTTCCGGATTAACAGCTTTCTGGTCCTTGTTCTGAGGTGTTGGCACAGGTCCACTGATATCCGGCACCGGACCCAGGGTCACATCGAGCCTTTCAACCCATTCTAGATCCCGCTTGAATTCGGCCAAACACTGCTTCAGGCCATTCTGAATAATTCAGACACTGAGCTTTAGGGCCCCGAGTTTTTTCTCTCCCAAGCCCGGGGCGTAAGCCAACAAGACAAAACGCTAACCAAATACCCTGACAAATAATCAATCCTCATGGCAAACTTGTCGTTCCTGTGACAAATACCAGCCTCCCAAGCACAGCTCCTCCGAATGCGCATCCCATCTCCAAGCACCCTCTATCTGACCCGGCTCCAGAGCTTACCACATCATTCACCGCCCTCTTCGGCCCCTCGAGCACCACATTGAGGCCTGGCTTCAGGAGCCCGCGGGAAAACGCATCCTGCAACTGCAGGCACAGTCGGTGTCATAAGCAGAGGGGAAAAAGCCTCTTCTCCCACGTCCAGTCCCGGGAGCTCCACTGTCACTTACCTCTCGGTCCGTGACAAGAGAATCATCGGAATCTGATTCTGAGCCTGAGAGCGGGGGAGTGTCCATTTCGCAGCGGCCAGCCCCTCCGCCTACCGGAAGGAGCGGGTCAGCCAGAAACCGGCTGGCACACACCAGTTCCCAGCGGGGATCCTGTCCTCAGCCGCAACTCACTCGCCGCGGCTCCACGTGTGCTCGAACTGCGCGAGCTGCCACAACTTGCCTTTTCTGCTCCGCTTTTCCAACGAGACTTCCGCTTCCGGCGCTGAGACACACTTCCGGTTTGTGGTTGCCATAGGAACTGCTCGGGTTTTGGGCTGTGCCAGGCTTGCTTGGGATCCCTAGATTTTTGCAACTCTGGATCGGTGCGTTGTCTGGTGACCCAGGGAGTGGGAATGGATCCCTAGTTAGAACAAGTTGGAAGCACTACAGAGAAAAGAAAACTTGGGACAGAGCCTGGGAAGGGAGTTAGGAGCTGAGAATGACACTGGGAGCGGGGCGGGGCGGGGCGGGGCGGAGCGGGGGGGGGGGGGGGACGGGGACGGGAAAGACGGGGACTGGGGGGGGGACTTGGCGCGGGGGGCGGGGCGGAGGGGAGGGGCGGGGCGATGAGCGCTTACTCTTACTCTCTGCCCTTGGCATTTTGCAGAACTCTGAAAGTAATATGTCGACCGTGGTAGCTCAGTCACTGCATGTGTTTGGTCTTCGATCTCACGTAGCCAACAATGTCTTCTTCTTTGATGAGCAGATCGTTATATTTCCTGCAGGAAATTACTGTGTGAAGTACAATGTGGATCAAAAATGGCAAAAATTTATTCCAGGTACAATCCTTTCCATCCTGACATGTGTATTAATACCATGTGCGTATAGAAATCATAATCCCAAAACTAAGACTGGAAAAAAATTTTTAGCAAGTAGAATATACATATAATTTTTAAAATATAGAAGATATAATCTAAGTTTGCATTATTATAGATTAATCAAAGACAAACCACATATAAAGTGTTAGCAGTATTTTTCACTGTAATTTCATGAAAAAATAGCTTGATGAATCTCTTCACACGTCTTCAGTATCTTGGCTTTGTCATCATCAGAGGCCTTTTGGTGTTGTCTTAACAGTTTTTATTTGTTTTGAGACAGGTTCTCACTATGCAGTTCAGGGCTGACTTTGAACTCACTATGTAGCCCAGGATGATCTTGAACTCTCAGTAATTCTCCTGCTTCAGCCTCCCAAATGCTTGGATGACAGGCGTGTACCACCATGCCCGGCCTAACTCAACTTTAAAAAGCATACTGCTTTCATTATATCTATGAATCTTTGTATCATGAAGACACTAGAAAACTTATCTACATCACAAATAACTATCTATATAATCATATTGGTCCTATAGATCATACTTATGACAATTCAGTCTCTTCGCTTTTTTCTCTTGCATTGAATACATTTTATTGTGACATGTGCATATAAAAGAGTGCTTATTACATATATGAAATAGTTAAAGAATTACTATAAAATGAAGATCTTTGAACCCAACCGCTCAGCATAGAAAACAAAACTTTGCCAGTTCAGAGCTTCTCCCCATTGTCTTTCTCCCACATTCTACACATCTCATCTTGGATCTTTATGATTATTTCCTGCAGAGTTTTAGCATACATATGTGCTACTTTATGTAAAATATGCTTTTTTTCTGTTTTCTCACTTTATATAAATTAAATCATAATTATGTATTGTGTGACCTTTTTGTTCAATAAAATGTTTTGGGATTCATGCATCTTGATATATAGATATATTGAGTTCATTTTATTCATTATAGTGCTCCAGCCTATGGATATAATGTCTCCCTAATGTTTTTCCTAAACTGATAGTTGACAAAAGGTATCTTATTGTGATTTAAGTTTGCATTTCCCTATTTTTAATGAGGATGAATATCTTTTCACGTGTGTATTCCTATTTATTACTATTTAGCCTTATGTTAAATACTTTTTTCAAATCTTTTGCTCATTTTCTATCTTTCATGGGAAGTTTAAGATTTTGGAGTAACTTTCTCCTTGATTTATAGGCATACTTTTTATAATCTGTCTACTAATCATTCCTCAGATATATGTTACAAATAATACAAGTCTGAGGCTTATATTTTTTTCCTTCTTATCATATCTTCAAATGGACAGAAATTCTTAGTTTTAATGGAGTCAAATGTATCAAACACTATGTAATATCTGTTGGAACAAACTGTATTATATGTCATTGACTTTATTAATTTCTATGCCCACCATATTTCCTAAAGTATTACTAATTATAATAATTTACCTATAGATTCTTTGGGGTTTATACATGTTATCTACAAATGATGATTTCATTTCTTTTTCTTGTGGTGCAGTAGTGGTAAGCATCTCCAAACAGCCTCTAATGGGCCAATGAATATGGACATCTTTGTCGTGTTTCTGCCATAAAAGGGAATTCGTTTAACATGTTGTTATAAAGAAGAATGTTTACTGTAGGCATTTGTCCATGTCCTTTATCAAGTTAGGGAATTCTTTCTTTTCTAATTTTCTATGCTTTTTAATATCCCAGTGAACATATTCTGAATCTTATTGTATGTATTTTCTGTATTTTACATAAGATTATATGATTTTCTAATATTACATTAATTCAATCATCATTTTATGCAGGCAATATTTGTTTATATTTACTCTCATGTTTACTAAGCTCTGCCTTCAAACTCTTTACAAATCAGATACCTGCATTTAGTGATAATTTGCTAAACTCTCCCCATTTTTTGTCTGAAAATCCCTTATTTTGTCTGTATTTTTGAAACATAATTGACCAGATATATAATTTTTGTCCCTATATCACACACTTACTTCTTTTTTGTTGTTGTTTTATTTGATTTTGGTTTGGGTAATTGTTCTGTTCTGTTTTGCCTTCTACCTCAAATCCATTTTTTCGGTCCCAGCCTTTACTCCTGCTTTGGAATCATATCCAACTGCTAGATCTCTTTACCCAAACATTCTACAATATGGACCTCACACATTATATCCAAAATCTGATGTATCATTTCCTTACTTTTCACACGCTTTCAGTCAGACCCTACCTTGCCACATACTCAAACACATGATACAGATATGATTGCAAAAGCAGTGTGGCCCTAGAATAAAGATCAAGAAACTCAGTAACATGTGTGTGAACATGTATTTAATATAAAGAAAGATACTATACCAAGGACTGATCAGACCCTCAAATACCTGTAGTGGAAGATGATAGAGAATAAAGAAAGACAAAGTGACAAAGTGACGAAAGGGATCTGGAAGAGTTTGCCTCTAGAGAACTGGCTCAGGGACCTTCACAGTGGGCTCACTTTTATTGGCTTGCAGGAAGCACAGAAGGAGGGGTAGCACTGTTTCATGAAACAGTAACTATAGAAAATAGGTGGAGAAGGATTAAATTAAAGAGGAACCAGATTTCCTCTAAATCCAAATGCATTGGCAGAATGTAGCTCTTTTGTTTACAGCAGCAGAGAAGCAGAGCAGAGGAATAGTCCGGAGAGGAAGGGGTCAGAGACCAGATATATTCTCCAAAGACACACCTCCACAGCCCATCCAGATACGCCAAGCATGGTACCTTCCCAATCCCTTGGAAGACCCCCAAACCAATCAAGTTGACAATCTACCTTGAATGGTCACAAATTCCACTTATAGGATTTTTTTAATCTGCAATACTATGGATACATTGATGTTAGAACTCAGAACAGGAAAAGAGTAGATATCCTTCAGCAGGAAATGTAATGATATAAAGGAATCCAAGGAGGACTTTTGGTGTTCTGTTGATGCTGTTTCTTGATCTTGATGCTAACTGATTAGTGTATTCATTTTGTACCAAGATACATAGTTATGTCTTGTGCACCATATATATGCTCATATATGCTAAGGTTTTCCTTATAATAAAATAAAAATACCAAAAATAAAAATTAAAAAATAAACCTAAATGCCTATATTCTGATCCTCAGCAGATGCTGTCTTGACTCACAAGTGCTGAGTTATTAGCACTCTGCCCATAGACAGGGGGCATGCAACCTTCCAAAGCAAGGTCACTCTGACCTTGGGACTGCAGAAACTTAAGTCACATAGTCGGGCCCCTCATAATCTACCACAAAACCTGATCCCCAACAATGGTGTTAGTGATTAGTGTTGGGAAAACTAGTCAGATATTTGATAAATGGGAACAAATTTGGGCCTTCACTACTCATCCTTTATCCTCATAAGCCCAAGATAGGTTAAAGACTTAAGTGTAAAAAAATCAAAACATAAAAGATAAGTACAAATACCCCTAAAAATATCAAATATTTGGGTGTGTTGTTTTAACAAAAGTCAATGTATATAATAATCACCATCACTCCTGTTATGGTTTATATCTAGATGCCCCCCCAAAGCTTCATGTACTCATAGATGGGACTTTAAGGAGTTGACTGAATCATGGGTGTGTGATACTGGATTAGTCCACTGACAAGTTTATGTCTAGGTGCAATGTTGGGAGGTGAAGCCTGGTGGAAAGAGATGTGTTACTATCGGCATGGCCCGGAAGTATATCCCTCCTTTGTTGATCCTTCCCTGCTTCCTGCCTGCCATGCTCTGAGCTCTTACTCCTCTGTGAGCCAGCCAGCTATGGACTGAAATCTCTACACACCATGAACCAAAATAAACCTCTCCTCCTTCAATATGTGGGTATTGAATATTCTGTCCCAGCAACAAGAGTAATTAAGACAACCCCCAACGTCCTCAGCCTACATTCTGTCGGAGGAGTAGGTACCACACCTCCCAGACATCTAAACTAGGAACCTAAATGTTATTCCTGCTTACTTCTCTACCTGTACCTCACTCCTAACGAGGGAGATCACAAAGTGCTACTGATTGTACCTCTTGGCATTTCTTAACAATGTGTCCCTCCATTCCTATCCTTCTGCCTTGGTAATGCCTATTGTTACCATCACCTCTCATTTCTTCAAACAGTCTGCAGACTGGTTCCTTCCCTCCAGGACTGCCTTCCCTACAGCTCCCAGAGGGCTTTTCCTACAATACACATTGGAGGGAAGGAAGGGAGGAAGATAGAAAAAAAGAAAAGAGAAGAAAGGAAGAAGGGAGGAAAAGAAAGAGGGGAGAGAAGGAAGAAAAATTTTTAGTGGCTTCCATTGCCTCCCACATGATCCCTAAACTCCTGTGCAAGGTTCTCAGTGACCCAGAACCTGCTTCCCTGAGATTCAGTT